AGATAGGCAGACAGGCAAATAGGTAGGTCGACAGGTAGATAGATAGATAGATAGTTATATAGACAGGCAGACGAATAAGCAAACAGACAGATAGACAGACAGATATATGGGTACATAGATAAACAGGCAGGTAGATAGATAGGTTGATGGGCAGACGGATAAATAGACATACAGACGAAGAGAGAGAGACATAGACAGGCAAATAGATATATAGACAGGCAGATAGATAAGAAGACAGGCATATAGATATAAGCAGACGAATAGATAAACAGATAGATAATCATACAGGCAACTAAATAGGCAGACATGTAGACAGATAGATAGTCAGTCAAATAGATAAATAGACAGGCAGATATATACACAGACAAACAGATAGATAAATGAATGAACAGCTTTTAACATACAACGAACAAAACACGAGTGACTTCTCGAGAAAAGATCGTCTCCAGTTTCAAAATATTTTCGCGCGTTAACTTGAAAACAGAAGAAGTAAGAATAACGAAAACGGGGGAAAATGATTTATTTTTTTTAACGAATGGTATTGGTTCTGCTGGATGGCGTCTGTGGAACCGTATTCATTTCCTAATTCTTAAGGAAAGATATTTATTTTATTTGTTTGAGTGTTTTGTTTTAGATGTCGTTGTTCCTATAGAATACGGATTTTTTTTTTCTTTCTTTCTTTCCTTCTTTCTGTTTTTTCTCTCTATATTTTCTACGGATGATTTTTTTTTCTTTATTTCTATGTTGTTGAAGATTAAATATTTTTTCCCCTTTTATTTTTTTTATCCATTTTTTTAAAAATTCTGCTTTCTTTCTTTTTTCTTTTTTTTTCCTTTCCTTCCTCTTTAGAAATCAGGGGACGAGACAGCTGTGAAAAAAGTTGGCAATCCTGAAAAAGCGATTTCTATTTCCACCTTTTTCCTTAAATTTATGTACGTTTTCCCATTCTCCTTAATTTACTGGTCTTTTTTTTGTGTGTGCTCTTCTCTCTCTGCTGAGGTCACGAACTTTTCCGCACGGAACTGACTGCGCATTCTAATACATAATTTCTTTTAAATAACTCATTACTGCCCTTTTTTATCTTTCTGGATTTATTTTTTTCCCTTTTCTCTTTCTCTCTCTCTCTCTCTCTCTCTCTCTCTCTCTCTCTCTCTCTCTCTCTCTCTCTCTCTCTCTCTCCTGCACATACACAAACACACATGTATGTGTGTATGTATAATATATATATATATATATATATATATATATATATATATATATATATATATATATACACACACATATATATGTGTGTGTATATATATATATATATATATATATATATATATATATATATATATATATATATATATATATATACACACATATATATGTGTGTGTGTGTGTGTGTTTGTATATATGTATATGTGTGTGTATATATATATATATATATATATATATATATATATATATATATATATATATATATATAAATCCACGACTCCATAAATCCTAAAACGTTTATCCTTCATCTCTCGTGTGGGGTTCCTCCCCCCCCTCCCCCCCTCCTCGGCGCAAACAGCCTCGATATTTCGCGCACGTTTCAAAGCCTCCATTCGATAAGGGAGGTATGGTTAGGGGCAAACATACAGAATTATAAGTAGGAGGCTGTGAATAATCCCTCTATTGCGTAATGGTTGAAGCCGCTTATCCATACAAATCAGATGACGGATGGATAATGGCGTCATATACGCTGTTAAAGGGATATCATCTGTTACTTTGTCACGCCTACTCAGAGTTTTTTTTTTGTTTTTTTTTAATCTTCTCTAAGTCACCCTGTTTTTGTTTTGTTTTTTCTCTCTTACTTTCTTCTCTCTTTCTTTTCTTTAGCCCTATAGAGATAATATACCTAACTAAATTCGCCATAATTACAAGTGATTATATAGATCCAACCGCCTCCAACGAAAAATAAAGTGTCATAGAAAACGGGAAGAGAGACGCCATCTACCGTTCATGAATTTTAAACAGCTGATTGCCGGATCCTCCATTTCCGTCCCGTTTCAATCTGCCTTTTTGCTTTTGTTGACGCACTTTTGCCTTCGCTTTTATCAATCTGATTTATTTGTTTATTGTCGATGCATAAGCACGATAGACTTTATATTATCTGTTTCTCTATCTACTTGTCTGTCAGTTATGCATGTATGTGTCTGTCTTTTTGCCTATCGATCTACCTTTTCTTCTATCTTCCTATCTCTGTCTGTCTATCTGTCTACCTATCTATCTATCTGTCTATCTAACTATCTATCTATCTATCTATATCTATATATATATATATATATATATATATATATATATATATATATATATATATATGTGTATATGTGTGTGTATCCATCTATTTGTCTGTCTGTCTATCGATATGTTTGATTTTCTATTTATTATTTATGCCTTTGTTTCAATATGCCTTAGTCTGCCTGTCTCTCTCTCTCTTTCTCTCTCTCTCTCTCTCTCTCTCTCTCTCTCTCTCTCTCTCTCTCTCTCTCTCTCTCTCTCTCTCTCTCTCTCTCTCTCTCTCTCTCTCTCTCTTGCTCTCTCTTTCTCTCTTATCTCTTTCTCATAACTATTTTCTCGGACGCATAAGCACAAAACGAGGTAAACTTATCCTAAATACACTGCACTGTAAATACTTTTGGGTCGTAAAAGTAGCATATAATACCCTTTATTACAAGACTCATTTTTATGACAAACAGAAGAGTTAAAGATCGCATATTCATCTGGATATTGGGCAGAAGGATTCACCATTACGAAAGGTGAATTCACTTAAAATCCTCATTTTTAATGTCTATTTTCAAATAGAGTGATTTAAAATGCTCTCGAATTTATATGTATAAACATACATACATACATATATATATATATATATATATATATATATATATATATATATATATATATATATATATATATATATATATATATGCTTGTATGTATGTGCGTATGTATGTATGTATAAATGAGAAAGATACAGGTAAAAACTTTTCGATTGTCCATGATTACGAAATAAGAGCATTACGGTCTTATTAGGGTCTTAACGCAAAAAGAGGGTACTTTTTAGTTTCCTAGAACTAAAAGCGTGAAATTCCAAAATCTATTAGCTTGATCGTGCCCTAAAAACGCACGTCAGAGGATAAGCCACATGACTAATGATCTTATAGCAGGACCAAATCTCCGTTATGGCTTCTTGGCATCATCCACTGATCGTTTCATTTCCTGAGTCTCTTTACATTCTTTCCTTCCTTTATTTCCTTCCTCAGCTTGCGTTTCCCTCTTTACCACTTCCTCCTATCATCCCTTGAGCGAGTGCCCCCAAGAGGCCCGAAGGACACGGTGCCCCGAGGCGACTTACCTTGGTACTGAAGAGGGTGGGCACCTTGAAGTAGCCACTCGGGTGGTCGGTCACCACGATGAAGGGCGGCGCCAGGATGTTCTTGAGGCCCCGCGTGAGCGCCAGCGTCAGGAGGCCGATGCCCGCGGACGTGGCGCCCGACTGCCAGGAGATGCCAGTGTAGAGGTCCCAGGACGCCCACACGCCCCTCCAGTGGTTGACGCAGCAGACGCAGTAGACGGCGGTGTAGAGTCTGGACACGAGGAGGTGCAGACGGGGGCGCCGCTCGTTGTCGCATAGCGTAGCGAGGGGGCCCTGCAGGAGGCAGAACACGAGGCCCGACACGTTGCCGATGGCCAGCGACGTCAGCACCGACAGCTGCTTGTTCCCCGGGAGGAGGTAGATGTCCATCAGCTGCCAGCAGCCCCGCCAGTAGCCCACCACGAGCGGCGCGAACACGAAGATGGACAACAGGGAGTCGATGACGGCCAAAACGCCTAAGCAGGCGCGCCCTCGACGCCCGCCCGTGCTAGCGCCTCCGCAGCCTGCCATGGCGCCCCAGCTCCTCTCTAAGTACTAACGAGCTCCGGCGAGGCTCGCTACAGCTCGTAGGAAGACAAGCGTAGATCTCCCTCCGACGCTCAGGCTCCACGGCGAAGTCGAAAAGTCCTTTCCTTTTCCCAAAGGCTCTGCGGGAAGGCGTCGCCTTGTTCTAGTTCCTTCTCCTTGTCGGAAACTCCTTTCCTTTCCGTTTCCTCCTCCTTCTCCGTCTCTCTCTTCCTCTCCTTCGTCTCTCCCTTTCCCTCCTTCTCCGCTTCTCTATTTCTCTCCTCCTGCGCCTCTCTCTTCCTCTCGTTCCCCGTCTCGCTGCCGCCTCCTCCTCGTCCTACCCGGCCTCGATCCCTCCCCTGCCTCAGCGCAGCGCCGGGAACCGAAGATTGTGGGTGGAAGGTGGAAGATTGGGGTGGAGGAGGGCGCCGCAGGGGGGGAGGGGCAAGGGTATGTGGTGTGGCAGTGGCTGTGACGTGGACGAGGATGTCCTTAATCGGCCGGTGGGAACAACTGCCCTCGCTCAGTTAGGCTCCCACACACCAGCACACAACACTTGCTCTAAGGACGGAGCACTTGGACCTTTGGGGAAATGCTGACATTTTCCTTCGGGAATTCAGCTCGTGGCGAACCTGGACGGGTTGGACCAATGTATGACTACTCTTTCCTCCCTCTCGCTTCACTTTCTTTCCTTTTTCCTTTCCTTTCTCTTCGTTTGCTTCTGGAAAGATGTTATTATTCCCTTTTCCGAATTCCTAGCACATGCGTTCAAGCGTCCGAAGCACAGAAGGTCTTCCTTTCAAACACAGGGATGATGGCGTCGTATCTGCCGCTGCGGTGACTCGTCCCTCTCCCTCGCTCCCTCTCCTGCGTTGAATTCTTCAGCCCGCTCTAAGTTCCCCTCAGACGACACTAGCACGAGGGGAAAGCGTGTTCTTTCTCCCCTTCTTGCTGCCTTCGACGAGCGTTCACGAAGCACGGCGCGTAAATTCCCATTGAGACAAAAGAAGCAAAAGTTTGTCCTTAAAACTCGACATCCGGGGCGAACACACACACGATCGCACACTCAAAATACGTACAGCGAGAA